AGGATATATTTAGGATGGTCCTAACTTTAGGATATATTTAGGATGGTCATTTTATAAACAAATATGGCCTGTATTGGTTGCATTTGCTTTAGGGAACTACCATTTGATTTTTATGACGGGGTGGGGTGGGGGTGGGCTAGGATGAAAAATGTTGTTCTGCTTTTTTTGTTGTTGTAATCTGTGTCCTTCCTTTTTATTCTTCACTATATTCGGTCCTGCCTTTTTATTTTGTTAGTTTATCCTGACTTTTTTTTTTTACATACATGTAAATTGTCATCCTGCCTTTTTATTTTTGCAAAGTTCCTCATCCTGCTTTTTTTTTTACTCCAAACTCCTGTCCTGCCTTTTTTCAAATTTCATCCTATAAAAAAAAAGCAAAGTGTTACTCTTGTCCACGTCGTCCAGGAGAGTCTGTAGTTTTGCATCGGTAGAATTCGAATTTCGTCTTTTATATTCAAGCGTATCATCGCATGTTATTTGCAGTACTGATAAAATAGTTGAAGTACTCAGTATTTATATGAAAGATGCACGAGATTTGCCTTTGAACTTTTAAGTATGAAACCGTGACACTTCGAATTCAGCTCACTCAAAGCATATAAAGATTTTACCGATTATATATTTTATTTTAACTATTTACAATTCGTTTGTTTCAATTCTTATATAACACGTAGTTATATTTTTTGTCTTATGTTTTGTTTTATGAGTTTAAATGTACAATTATAATATATAAAGTATTTATCACCTTTAATTTAAAACTAATAATTATTTTCTAATTATTTATCTTTTTTTTAAATTATAGTTATTGGTTAAATTTGATACAATATTTTCATTTTTTCATTTTTCATTTGTTATTTTCTTTTACGCCAATACTTAGGACAGCGGTTAGGACATCCTAGCTAAGATAATCCTAAGATAGCTTCGATGTGCATGCTGAGACATGTCGTAAGTCGGTCCTAACTTCATCCTAAATTCTGTCCTAAGAAATTCTTAGGACCGATCTTAGGACAGTTTCGATAAACAGGCCCCTGCTTTTAACCCAATCATAAAACATAGGATGCAAAATGTCCTTAGATGTGACGACCCTATGACAGAGTCGTGGACACTAAAACATGGAATATGGGAAAATAACTTTTTTTTTCTGTCAACACGCATGCTCCTTCCAAATTAAACTCTTCAATCTTAAATGTTAATCCATTTCATTATTAAAGAGAACAAGACTATTTCTGAATATAAATTGACAAAATGTTTGGATGACGCTTTATTTATTTATTTGCGTCCATGTCATCTCCTTCTAAAATTGTAATAGCTGTGTTTGAATACTTATATTAAAGTTGTAATACTTTTTAAAAAAGTCGATATTTCAAGATTTCAAAAGTCAAAATTTCAGATTACGGTCAAAATTTCGAGATTTGAAAAGTCAAAAATTTGAGTTAAAGTCGAAATTTTTAGATTTGACATGTCAAAAGTTCGACTTCGAAACAAATGTGCCCATTTTATTTTTTACTATGTCCCTATATTTTTGTTATTGTTGATGGACGAACAGTTGTCTATAATTGCTTACACCCAATTCATTTGAACTTTGGTGGAATAGTTGTCTTATTGGCAATCATATATTACCACATAACACCTCCTTATTCTTTATATTGCTATAAAGAAATATCGTGTCACTGTACTACTAGTTTAACCTAAACACGTTTCAAATTTTTGACAGAAGAAACAAGGTAACTGTATGCATGGGACTAAATAGTTTGTATGTTTGCTAAGTCCAGACTCCAGGTTACGGAAATCGTATTACAGATATTTGAAATGTAAAAAATGGAAGGGTTGAAATTCCGTGTCCTATTTGACTAACAAAAAAATACCTACAAATCGCTTATGTTGGCCCAAGTAAATAAATCGATCGAGAATTTAGTCAGTGGTAAACATGAATGTGACACTATGTTTTGATTTTTTCATGAACTTAAATATTGATATGAATAGATCTTTTCAAGTCTCTGAGAGGGACAATGCAGAATATTTAACCACGTGGCTATCACCAGAAGAGTAATAAATTTACATTCAGAGTGGTACACTGAATAAATTCCACAACGGCTTGCCATTCGAAAGAGTTGCTTAGTCTATATGTTTGCCAAATATTGGTCAATGCTAATTTGTTTTGTTCCTAATACGCTTCCGTAGGATTGAGTCCATTCACATGGATCAAATTATAATTTGAAATTATTTTGGCAAATTTAATGCACGATTTTAAAAGAAAATTTAATTCAAAATTCAATATTTAATGGTTTATAATCATTAAATAGTTCGAACTTTCCTTAATTACTTGTCTGGGTCGATATAAGATGGTCCGAGTTGACTTAACATAGTCGGTCCAAAATTTTCTCCGGACCGACTTGTCCAATAATCATCATTAAAGCGTTTGACAGATAAATGATTGGTTTGCCTTATATTAAACGCTAAGGTAACTTTGATGTTGATTTTTTAATATTAAAAATTCATTTATTAATATTAAAATATCAGACTGAATATTTAATATTAAAAAATGATTTTTTAATATTAATAAATGATATTTTAATATTAGATATTCATTTATTAATATTAAAAAATGACAGTATTTTTTAATATTAAAAAATCGATTTATTAACATTAATAAATAGGGAATAAATTCCACAACGGCTTGCCATAAAAAAGGATACATCTACAAAATAAACACAGAATGGAAACTTTTGTCTGGATCATAAATAAACAAAGGTGAAAAAACTGCCAAAATAGGTGCAATTTGGGTACCGTCACGTTATACTCTTTTGTTGGTTATATCATGGAAGTATTATATTGACAGGAACTCCAACGAAAAATTAGCACATTCCCATCCCACTGATTTCTTTAAGAAAATAAAAGGTTCCGACTCAGTTTGTCAAGTACGTGATAACTCCTTTGTGGGGTATCTGTGATGCCGCCTTCGCCTGTTCTTTTAACTTTAGCTGGTCTTATCACGTGATTTGGTATCGATTGTCTTATCTACCTACCAATGTAAATAAACACGGAAACTCCCGTGGTTATTTGTGAATCGCCACATGAATAACAACACCTGTTTCCGTTCAATAAATGAAGAACAAAGCTGAAAAGATCGAAAAAATCGGTCCATAGTTAACAGAATGACATAAGAAAATTAACTGCATTCGGAAAGAGGGCAAGCTTATTTTTAGTTTTGTTGAGTATGTTTTAATCATTGGAACTTGGAAATCGGGAAATATCCGATTAGGAAAATTACATGATTCTGAAGTAGAGTGTTTGCAAAAAATAATGTGATGCGCGTGTAGTGTGCCGGATGGTGCCGGATAACTCAAATTTTAAGTTAAAGATTGTAAACTTTTATCGAGTGTAACACAAATATTTATGGTTTTCTCTATCGTAAAATATCGTAAAATGTTATTAACTTATTTATCAAATATGTTTTAAAAACTAAAAGAGGTTAATAATTACACGCATGTGATGACCTCTACATAGCAATATCAGGTTACGAAACATGCAGATGAATTGTTACACCTTTTATAATAATTCCAAAGTTGTAAACAACCTTAAACATTCAACCTAGTCCGAGATTACTCTGACGTCTGACAGATTTATTTTTACGGATGGCTTTAAATATTTCTGGATGCATTTAAAGAACGATCACCATGATGGGCCCTAAGCAGTTTATTTTTTTTTTATCAAGGAAACCAAATTAGAATTTATTTATGTGTTTAAAAGCTTAACAGTTCTGAAACATCTTACACCGTGTGCTAAGCAATTTATGATTTTGTTTCTTGTTTAATTGCATGAAATATTTGCCATTGGACTTTCAGTAAACAATAAATCAAAATATTTGATATTTTTTCGGATCAAAGCTCTTTAACCCCGTCCCCCCCCCCCCCCGGCCAACTTTGGATTAAATTTTTGTTGGAAATTCTTTCATTAAACACTTCAGTAAAATATTTGTCAAAGTTAGCAGTAAAACGCGATAATAATTACTGATAAAACTTTTCCGTTTACTTTACATGAGAATTTTATGATTTTCAAGCCTAACTTGTATATAACAGTTACGCGTGTTTAGCCAACGGCACTCTCATGAATAAATCTTACTATTTTAAAATTGATTGTAACTTAAACTGAAATGTTTATGGCTTGTGAGTATTTTTACTCTTCAGTTTTTTTGGTTTTTTTTGTCTTTTTAATCGGTGAAAACAGTCGCGGGGATTTCGTTTCGTTTCGTTTCGTTTCTTTTCTTTTTATTTGTTTTTAAGCAGCAAAACCCGTAAAAACTGACATTATATTTGTCATTCACATGGTCGGTAAATGTCATTTCCTTGACAATTAAGTACACATCCGGTTATTTCGGTATGTTCCGAAATTACGATCATTCACGAGGTTCCAAAAATTTTATCGGAACCCATGCATCCATAAAACAGTCGAGTTAATTAACAGATACTTAACGATTTTGCGGCATCGCACTATAAACGTTTGAAGTCCGCTTGTTGGAGTTCCTGTCAATATAATACTTCCATGGTTATATTTATTACATCCGAGTTTTCACACCCATATAGGATTATAGGTTTTAAAAAAAATTATAGTATGGTCAAATATAAATAATTGACTGGGAGCGTCTTATGAGTAAATGCACCCTTGAAATTTTCAGTAAAGATATTTTTGAGAATGTCTGGGTGAAGTTTAAAACATAATTAGACTGTTTTTAGTATAGTTATTAATATATATCAGTGGCGGATCCAGAAATTTTCATAAGGGGGTCCCACTGACTGCCATAGAGCCTGGGGGGACCCGCTCCAGTCATGCTTCAGTGGCCCCTAAATAATCAACCTAATTTTTCCCACAAAATGGGGGCCCGGGCATCCTGCCCCCCTAAATCCGCCTCTGTGTATATATTGGTATTTGAAAAACCTTAAGAAGTGCTCCTCAGATAGGAGAAATGTACCAGACAACAGAGACAGTGACATTGATTTCTCTCCCCATACAAATATTCCCCTGCAACATGTCGTACTGTGTACAAGAAGGTAAGGTCTTTATATTGTACATCGTTCAAACAGTTAATGTACTAATCATTGCTAAAAGTGTCTTAAAGCAATGCAAAACAACCTGTCTATAATGTAAGGAATTGGAGGAATATTTCCTTAGTAATTCAAGCAGGTACTGTACTGTACATACATAGTAACATACTATTTCTTATGCAATCTCTGTTGATAGTCGACTTTATTATTTACAGAATTTTATTGATAGAATTTCCGATTCCTGTGATGCAATCGACCTTAAGCTTTTTACTATTTAAGTACAGATAATCATGATAAACCGAAGTGATATACCAATAGTATACATATATCGTCTCTGGGTATCCTGCTTCTATAGCAAGCGAATCATTGTTATGTTCAAGTTCAATTTGTGATCCTTATACATGTTATAGTCATGATAGTGGTCCGCGTTAAGTCATGCCAATATATTAAAATCATATGAAACTATAGTGTTTCTTGTAATTATAATATTATTGAAATTATTGAACCAATGCATGCATGTTTACTCAGATGCGGATCCAGGATTTTGAAACGGGGGCCCATGGGCCCCCAAACTAGACAAAATCTGTAGTGGAACTGGTAAAAAGTCTGGATTAACCATAAATGAAGCTACATAAGGGGGCACCCAGGCACCCAGCCTTTATCTGCCTCTGATACTAAACTAAGTCCTGTATGTACGTTTTTTTTTTCATTTATGACGAATCTATAACGTTTTATCTACAAATAATATTTCATTCAGTGATTGTTGATTGCAAGCTAACTTTTGAGATATTGCTGAAGTTTAGCGGATAGTACATGTAACATTGATAAACAATCAACACAGAGCATATGGAGCACGTAAAAGATAAATGAATGGAATGATTTGGTGTATTTAATTTGTTCTTTAAGAATCAGTTATTACTACATTGTATTTACCTTACAGTGCACGTTTGTCTACATTCTTTCATCACGGTTTTCCCCCTGACACTTTCAAAAAATAATTCAACCTTTGGGAATTTAAAAAATACATGTTCAAAAAACTAAAGATGAAATTGAAGGACACAAACAGTATTTGTTAATTGCAGGAAAGTATGAAATTGAAATTTATTTTGTGTAATATTGTTTTATCAGAGGCGGATTTAGAGGGGGGGCGGGATTTTCTGGGAAACATTTGGTTGATTATATAAGGAATCACTGAAGCATGACCGGAGGGGGCCCCCTCTTAGGCAGTCAGTGGGCCCCCACTTATGAAAATTTCTGGATCCGCCACTGTTTATTATATTACCTTTTTCCTAAGACTTTTCAAAATATAGATATGTATATATATAGGAAAAAAATAAGGCTGAAAATGCACTAAATATTTATATTCAATATGAATATTCACATTTTGTCTATTAAGACATCAAATGTTCTAAAATGTTCCCTATAATTTCCTACTGGTTTCACTGTTTCACAGATATTCATGGATATGGTTGCTTGCAGTAACGGGGTAACGTCTATTAGCGGCATCATTATTTACTCCTGAACGTCATAATATAGTACAACGTAGGTACTTAAAACGAAAGTGAAAGTACATATACATGTATATATATATATAAATTGCCTAACAATGTAATTTTAACACACTATTTAGAATGTAAATATTAAAATGTTAAAAAATTTACAATGGGATAAATAATAAACTCAATATTTCGCTAGACAAACTAGCACTAGCCAAGAGGTGTTTTTCAAGTTGGCCCATAAATATGTTGGCATATGCCAACTTATTTATGGGCCAACTTGAAAAACACCTGTTGGCTAATGCTCCATACCAGCCATTATCATGGTTTCGATTCATTGATGATATTGATTTTAAATGGACAGATTCACAAGACCATCTGAATGAATTTCTAGAACACTGTAACTCTTTCCACCATTCAGTTAAATTTACACACGAAATATCAACAGAGAAAATTAATTTCCTTGATACTTCGAGTTTTATCCAGAACGGAACCATGATAACGGATCTCCATACGAAGAAAACAGACCAATTTCTCTCTCCAAAAAGTTGCCATCCCAAACTCTGCTCCCGTGGTATCCCTTTCAGTCAGGCATTGCGAATCAAGAGAATATGCTCAACTGATAATAAGCAGCATGCTAGACTTGGACAACTACGTAAACATCTAGTTGTTCGAGGATACAATAACAACAGTATTGATACAGCTTTCGAAAAATCAAACAGAAATAGCTGCCAAGAACTTCTGGAGTAAAAGGATAAGAATAAAGGAGTCAACAGAACACCTCTTGTAGTCACTAACCATCCTGGTTAAAAAATATGTCATCCATTGTTCAAAAGCATTGAAAAATTACAGGGAATGACTCCAATTTGAAAAAAAGTATTTTCCTCACCACCACATGCACCAGTCATGGCCTTCAGAAGACCTAAAAACATCTGTGACAAATTAGTGACAACTGTATTAACAAAGCAACCTAATCCACCTCCTGGTTGCTACAAACAATGTGGGTGAAGGAATTGCTTATGTTGTAAAGCTGCCAATACTAGTTGTTATTTCATCAGCTCCTTTACAAAACAAAGTTATACCATAAAATTGAGAATGGAAATGGGGAATATGTCAAAGAGACAACAACCCGACCAAAGAGCAGACAACAGCCGAAGGCCACCAATGGGTCTTCAATGCAGCGAGAAAATCCCGCACCCGGAGGTGGTCCTCAGCTGGCCCCTAACTAAACATCTACACAAATTCCAACTGTAAAATGGAGAACTCAATTTATGTATTAGCATGTAACACCTGTGGCATTCAGAGAGTGGGAGAATCAATGGACAAATTTAATATTCGGCTAAATAACCATCGATCATGGTACAAAACCAACAAAAACTGTCCCCTCACGAGACATCTTCGCTCAAAGAAACATCCTTTTGATAATGTAACTTTTCAAATTATCCAAGTGAACACTGAGTGGGACACTACAGTGAGAAGGAGAAGAGAAAACTTTTGGATCCACCATCTCAATACTTTAGAACCTGATGGGCTTAATGAAAAAGACTAGAAAAGATGCAGGAAAGATAAAGAATGATTAATGATACAGCATTGTCCTTTACATCTCTGTAATATTGGCCAATAGATGTTGCAAACTTCAACAACAAATTTCTTAATAGACTATTTTCATATTACCGACTTTTGACTCCGGATTATATAATTTGTCGACTGGTTACCTTGGACATCATGGTACCAAGTCAGGTAAGAGCAAGCTAAAGAAGTAAAACCAAGCTTTCAATCGGTACAATTTTGGGGGAAAATTACCTGGTTAATATTTTTTTTCACTACAAAATCATCGGAAATCAGTAAACTTTCCCCTCAAATAACACCGATTATATGATTGATTTTACATATTTTGGTTACTCTTACTTGACAGAGTACCATGATGTCCAAGGTAACCAGTCAACAAATTATATAATCCGGAGTCAAAAGTCGGTAATATGAAAATAGTCTATTAGATAATTAATCTTGGAACTTCATCCAAACTTTGAATTATTTATAAGGCAGCTAAATTCATGTACAATCAGCTGTAAAAGTTTCTTATCTGCAGCCGATTTCACCTGTATGGATGCACCTAGATGAAGCTAGTTTGTCTAGAAAAATTAGTTTGTCTAGCAAAATATTGCATTTATTTTCTATCGCATTGTAAATATTTTTAACATTTTAATATTTACATTCTAAATAGTGTGTTAAAATAACATTGTTAATCAATTTATAATTTCATTTGTGTCATTGTATTAATATTTGTACTGATTAACCCACACTCAAATAGATTTGTATGTTATGTGTTTCTATTTATAGGCACATATATTATCATGATTATATATAATGCATATTTTAAGATATCACATTGTTGGGCTAAATTTGAGACGAATTATATATATATATCTATACATGTATATATAATCTTATCTGCATGCTCTCTGTTTTAATGTTATGCATATGTTATTTATATTTGGTAAAAAGCTCTAAAGAGCTTATAGATATAAGAAGATGTGGTATGAGTGCCAATGAGACAACTCTCCATCCAAGTCAAAATTTATAAAAGTAAACCATTAAAGGTCACAGTACGGTCTTCAACACGGAGCCTTGGCTCACACCGAACAGTAAGCTATAAAGGGCCCCAAAAAATTACTAGTGTAAAACCATTCAAACGGGAAAACAAACGGTCTAATCTATATAAAAAACGAGAAACACTTATGAACCACATCAACAAACGACAACTACTGAACATCCGATTCCTGACTTAGGACAGGTGCAAACAAATGCAGCGGGTTTAAACGTTTTAATGGTACCAAACCTTCACCCTTTTTCTGAAACAATAGTGTAACATCACAACATAGAAAGACTATGTTTGTAATGTTATATGTGAGCAGAATCAAAAATAAACTTTGGTAATTAGTATTGGTATTAAACAAATTCAATCATGACAAGTAAAGCAGGCAAGATATATCAACCTGTTTATTCTGGTTTTATTCTTTGAAAAAAATGGAAAAATGTAGAGTGGGTGGCTCATATTCACTGTGGACACATTTTCACCACTTTGCGATTTCTCGAGAAACATGTCAAGGTGGGGGTGTGTGCTATTTGTTTGCTTGAACAGTGTCCATCTCAACGATTCATATGCATTTATGTAAATAATCATCATCACGGTAAGTTTTAAAGTAAACTTTCAAAAATAAATGTATCAATGCTAAAAATTATGACGTTTGCTTGGAAAAAGGAACCCCTTCCCCTAATGAAATAGACAGCTGCCTTCAAAATGCACATAATCTCCATTGATAATTATATATATATAATTATCAGTGGAGATTATATAATGGCCCAGAAATTTTGTTTACTTCTGCTAAATGAATAGGAGCCGCTTTTTTTCACAAATAATCTTAAAGTGCAAGTAAAAAAAAATTTGATGGATAAACTTAAATCCATCTTTAATAGTGAATTTGTTTTTTTTATTAATTTTTCTAAGGCTTTGAGCCTTTATCTGTAATAATTTTAAATGCTTTTTGTTATTTATATGTCAGTCAGGGGTACTACTTGCACAAGTAATCTTTATTTACTTGAAGAAGTAAAAAAAATATACTTATATAAGTTAATTATAATGTTTAAATAATCTCCCATTAATTTTCTCAAAAATTCACTTGTATAAGTAAATTTTTTTTACAATCCCACAAAAATTCTCAAGTTTTGAGATGTAAAAACATGCCTTTAATGATTTTTCCCAGGTTAGCTCATAATTTTAATGATTTTTCCCAGTTTAGCTCATAATTTTTTATTAGAGTTCAATGTTTCATCTCATTAACTCAACAAAGAAACTGATTGGGCAAAGATCTTAAGTATTTGCGCAAGGCCTTCAAAAATTACTCCTTAGGGGCTTGTAAATGAGCAGTGTTCTGAAGATAACAGACAAATGAGATTTTCATTGTCCATGAAATTACACTTAAATGATTAGTTAAGACATCTGCAATGGACAGACAATTTAAAATTCTATTAGAGCAAAGAAGTCCTAAGAATTCAAGACAAGAAGATAGGATGACTTTTTCACTTATATAAGTAAAAAAATCTGAATGTCTAAGGGACATAAACTAAGCCAATTTTTTTTTACCTATACAAGTAAATAAAATACACTTGTATAAGTATCCTACAAATTTACTTATACATGTATAAGTATATTAATATTACTTCTTCAAGTAAATAAAAATTACTTGTACAAGTAGTACCCCTGACTGTATGTGTCAACCTTGGTGTGAATTGGTAGTCTCTTCTTAAAAGGACCCAACTGGAAAAAAGTTTCATTAACTTTTGTAGGTAACCTAAGGTAATAATTAGGTTGCAGTGAAAATCTGGTCCATTTAATTAATTATTACAATCAAGTCAAATATCAAAATAATGACAATTTCCATAATTTTATTTTTTAGATTATCATTTTTAGTGATCAAATAACAGTAAATCATTTTTGTGTCTGTAACTGTGAAATCCTTTTCATGTCTAGTGCTATATCTGTACATGTCATTTTAATTTATTGTGTCTGTCAAATTCAGGCCTTTTATCTTGAATAAATATTATCAATGGTTATCTGATTCAATGTTTAATTGCAAATTCTTTGATAAGTCTTTCCCTGCTAATTTTTCATGCCCGCATACACATTGTGTCTCTCCAGTTTTCGTTGATTTGTAGACCTAAAAACTAATGTCTTAATTAAAAGATCCTCCATCATCAGAAGTGTTAGTTTTAAAGTTAACTTTTGGAAAATTGCATAACAAGTTGCTGAAGTTTGAATGTAGATTGGCCGTAAGTGAAAATGGGTGAATAATGCGGCGAATATGGGCACCCCACTCTAAATCTAACTACTTTTTACACTGTGTAGGGTACAACCTTTCTATCTTTATCTAAATCATTTGTAAATATAGATTTAAGATGTTTTTACTTAAATAACAAGAGAACCTAGACCAAATCAAATTTGGTCTCAAACTCTAGAGAGGCATGTCATAGATGGAATGACATAGACATGGGTCATTTATATAACTCACTCACTATATAAACAGTAAACGGAGAAGTCAAGTCAAGCAATGTTTTATTCAGCCTAAAATAAAATGAATAACAACAAAAATAATAATAGATTAAAAGCTTAAGTTAAATACAACATTTAATTTGATGATGTAATGTTTTAAAACATTTTTTTCAAGAATTTCATATACTGGCCATTTCAATTTGTAATGATATGCAAGCTTTCAGCATAGAAATGCATGTGAAGTTCCCTGGGATAATGGTTAGAAATACCCAGGTATATGTATTACCATTGCTGGAGATATAGGGTTTTAAATGACATGGCATTAACCAATTGAAACACTAGAAATTTCTAAGCCAAGGATAAATACACATTCATTGTGATGATTAATTTTGTAAAATTATAACTTCAGGGAAAGACAGAATTGTAATAGCAACTGTAGAGGATCTTAACAAGCCTTGCAAAGCAAACATTACTATAGAAAAGCCTAAGGAAGAACCAGGTAATATACATGTAACAACACTACCACACTTGGAACATGTTCTGGAAGTAGGACTTAGCAATGCCTGTAAACATGATAAATGAAACTAAGTCCTGGTGGCTCTTTTGTTAACAATGTTACTGGTAAAAACCTTCTTGCCCACAACATGTCAAAGAAGTTGGGATATAAGAGGGCTGAGGACTGAGGTTGGAATATTAGTTCACTACATATTTCAATTTTCAATCAGTTTTACACTTTTATACATTTATACTTACAGCAAAATTTTAAAAGAGTTAACACTTTTGGTGAGTTAAATTCATAAATTATATTTTGTGTTATCTCCCTTTGTACAGAATATATTATTTTGTTTGAACGAAATTCTTTTCTGACAATGTATTTCTTTGCTAAATTACATTACTTCATGTTCCATAATAACATATATGGGACCCAGGCATTGTGCAAGGAAGGAACTTCAAAATTTCAAATATTAGTGAATTTCTAATATTTTTTCTTTGTAATAAAATAATATTCCACTATTACACCAGTTTCACATTTAACTGCGCATGTCTAATCTAGTTAGTCAAACTATGAAATCACGCGATAATTTCCAAGAGTTCATCAACTGGGGGCTAACAGTTGATAAGCAGTGACAATGCAGACTTGGAAAAAAAATCATCTGATTAAATGTTTGCGTTAATTACATGTCAAAGCAACATGAGCATCATTTGAATCAAAATATAAAAAATATATTGACGAGACAACTTTATTAACAATGACACATTCAAAGATTTTAAAACGGACTACTGCTGTGTTGTTGGTTGCAGTAATATACGATCTGATATGCCGCCTGGCTTTAATTGTACCTTTAATTGTCACAAATTCACGTTGAGGTCGTTCACCTAACGGGAAGAATAAATTAGATAAATAAGCGGGGCTCACTTCATCTACATAGTATTAGGTCATAAATTAAGAAGTCAATTAACACCTTAGCCATGTGGAATCAGGCCTCGTTTTACCTTGTACAATCTCACCAGGTGACAATCGATAAAAACGTACCATTATCTATACAGATTCAATAGTTTATTAAAGTCTCACCACATACATACAAGTATAAACACATTATAATATCAAGTACACAATATAAAAGAACTATGAGAGACTGTTATATACAATTATAAAACAACAGAATTAAAACATAATTTTGTTATTTACACAAAACATAAAAGTGCAATATCACCATGCACATTCAAGGATAAAACCTGTTACATGTACATAAAAAAATAACAATGATTTTTTAAATAAGATACTATTTCGTCGCAATAAAATATTATGGCAGGTTTTGGCAACAGAACTACAAACATTTTCATTTTTGAACAAAAATTTAAATTTTTCATCATCTGACAAAGTTAAAAACATATTATTATGTTGAATTATATCAATAAATAAAGACTGCCTTAAATCTTCATATAATGGACATGTTAACAGTACATGTTTTTCATCTTCTATATCATCACAATTGAAACATAATCTTTTATCTAAATCTAATCTTTCGTAACGACCAGTTTCAATTTTCAAAGGTGCTACTCCACATCTAAATTTCGCATATGCACTGCAATATCGAATAGGTATATTTTGCAACAAATATTGTTCAGTAGAGTATGAAAATTTAAACAATTTATAAGTTCTCAACTTATTTCCTTGACCATAAGAATCAAGCCTTGTACTCCATTCAGTTTTATAATTATCAAAAATATTAACTTCTAACTGATAAATTATATTTTTATCCAGTATATACAGTTACTGATAAAGGGCGACTATTTGATTGATTTATTCAACTTTTGTACACAATTATTTCCTGCATCCTGCAGATTATTCTTTTCCATCCTGCCTGGTCATACTTATTTATTTTTAACTCCTACTAGAATAATAATTTTCTAAACATCCCCCCTAAAATTCAAATGGTCATCCCTTTATACAGATATTTAAAATGTTAACCCTAGTACCTAATTTATACTTATTTATCATGGCCAGTACGGACCTTAATGCCACTGGGAATATTTTAATAATTTAGGAGGGGGTCATTCAGCAATTTGATCTTTTTTTATGGCAAAGCGTGGTAAATATAGGATATTCAATTAATTTAAATGGCATGAAAAATGATAAAGTTAAAAATATGTAGAAAATTACTCTGGTTGCTGGGACTGAACCTCTGCATAGACGAAGTCGATCATGAACATAGCTTAGAAATTAAAATGGTATTGAATGCATTGTATTATAATAATAGTCTGATGTTTGAAATTAAAGATAAACCTGTATTTCTGATACGTATTTTAAAACTGCATTTATATCTCTCTTCATTATCATGGCCGTTTAAAATATCACTGACGCAGAAATATTTGAAACAAATGTACATTCAAATAAGAGGATGTGGTATGAGTGCCAATGAGACAACTCTCAATCCAAGTCACAATGTATAAGAAGTTAACAATTATAGGTCACAGTACGGTCTTCAACACGGAGCCGAGGCCCTGTCTACTACATGTCAATTTTTTCTGTTGGTATTCTGAAAGCATTTTATAAGAGCTATATCTTCCCACATTTTATTTTGATATTCTATCATTTATTTTTAACTTCAAATATTCTTATAATGATACTTTAAATTTTTTTCTCTGTATAGTCCATACACAATGTTTCATATTTTTACAGCCTGTAGCTTAAAAACAAAACTCGGTGACCTATCATTGTGTTTTTCATATTTTTAACATATCACAATACATACTACATTTTTGACAAAGGATATAAGGACAAATTCTATCAATTTTGGTTTACACTTCCATACTACTATTAGTGGAAATTTCGATTATTTAGTAATGCCGGTAACTTGTCCTTGTACCCATAAAATTTCACGTAAAAGTCACCATAATAGTAACCTGTTTTTTTTTAAAGAAAATTAAAAGTTCGAGTCTATGATACTATTAAAACCTATACGTAGGCGGTAACCCCTTTACATGCATGTCACAAGCCGAAGATGCAAAAAAATATTTCAGAAAAACTGCGAATTGATACTGGAACAGAACTGAAATTAAATGTATTTTCTTTTTATCAAATACTTTTCTCTTTTCAAGAAAAATCAAACTGATATACTGCAATGTACATAGCGCAGTTGGCAAAAGAAAGCAATTACAAGATTAATACTTTTTTAAAAATCATTTTTGTCGAGCCTGCGACTTTTGTCGCAGAAAGCTCGACATAGGGATAGTGATCCGGCGGCGGCGGCGGCGTCGTTAGCTAACTTCTTAAAAGCTTTATATTTTAGAAGGTGGAAGACCTAGATGCTTCATACTTTGTATATGGATGCCTCATGTTACGAAGTTTCCGTCAGTCACATGTCCAATGTCCTTGACCTCATTTTCATGGTTCAGTGACTACTTGAAAAAAAGTTAAGATTTTTTGTAATGTTAAATTCTCTCTTATTATAAGTAATAGGATAACTATATTTGGTATGTGCGTACCTTGCAAGGTCCTCATACCTGTCAGACAGTTTTCACTTGACCTCGACCTCATTTCATGGATCAGTGAACAAGGTTAAGTTTTGGTGGTCAAGTCCATATCTCAGATACTATAAGCAATAGGCCTAGTATATTCGGTGTATGGAAGGACTGTAAGGTGTACATGTCCAACTGGCAGGTGTCATCTGACCTTGACCTCATTTTCATGGTTCAGTGGTTATAGTTTAGTTTTTGTGTTTTGGTGCGTTTTTCTTATACTTTATGCAATAGGTCTTCTATATTTGGTGTATGGAATGATTATAAGGTGTACATGTCCAACTGGCAGGTGTCATCTGACTTTGACCTCATTTTCATGGTTCAGTGGTCAAAGTTAAGTTTTTGAGTTTTGGTCTTTTTTCTTATACTATATGCAATAAGTCAACTATATTTGGTGTATGGAAATATTCTATGATGTACATGTCAGTCTCGCAGGTTTTTTTTTTACCTTGACCTCATATTCATGGTTCATTGCTCAGTGTTAAGTTTATGTGTTTCAGTCTGTTTTTCTTAAACTATAAGCAATAGGTCAGCTATATTTGTTGTATGGAAGGATTGTAAGCTGTTCATGTCTGCCTGGCATGGTTCATCTGACCTTGACCTCATTTTCACGATTCATTGGTCAATGTTTAGTTTTCATGGTTAAGTCTGTTTCTTAGAAACTATAAGCAATAGGTCAACTATACTTAGTGTATTGAATGATTGTAAGGTGTACATGTATTTCTCGTTTGGTTTATATGACCTGGGCTTCATTTTCTTGGATCATGTTAAGTTTATGTAATAGTTGTAGTAAAGCTTTCATTTAGGACTATCAACATAACATCAATGGTTAGTAAAGAAGGCGAGACATTTCAGCGTGTGCACTCTTGTACTAATATTAAAACACAACTGTTAGCAACAAGATGACTTATTTTCAGGTTTGACTTGTTTTGTGTCTGGACCTTTTAGAGCTTACTATTCGGTATGGATTTTTTCATTGTCGAGAGCTGTATGGTGATATATAGTTGCTTTCATCTGTCATTTGGGTCTGGTGGATAGTTTCTCGTTTGCAATCATACCACATCTTTTTATTTTAAATTTGTTAATTAAATAAACGATTATTAATATCTTAAACTTAAATAATCTCAAGCATACACAATGAGAGAGAGATGTGTATTATTAGTTGATTTATTATTGTGTTGCTAAATATCAGAGTCAATTTGATGTAGCCCCCTGTCACGTATGATATCGTTAATTATCGCGAGATTTAAACTCAAACGCGCATAGGATTTCGAGATCAGCGTTGATAAGTCGCTTATGTGAAACTGGTCTAATTATTTTGATTTCAGATTGTTATAAATAAAAAAGTTTGTGAAACTCTGTTTTCGTCTTTCATTATCTTTTTAACCTAAACATGATGACGTCATAAGTACACTCCCGGGGTCAAACCTAAACACTAGATGTCTTCAGACTTTGCATAATTTTCAGAATGATATTACTATTGATAAAAACAGTGTTTTTGTCTGATTGTTTTTGTCTGGCCTGCGGTGAAAGTCGTACAGGCTAGACTTAAGTGTTGCTTTTCAGACAGTGTCATCTTTGCCTTTGGCTGAGTCATCAATTGTTCAGTTTTCTGCTTAAGTTAGTTTGATAGGAACTACACTGATATTTTCTGTAAGGTTGAATTACTATCAGTACATATCAGATTGACGACTATTTCAAGGCCCTGCCTAGTTAATAGGATGTGGTCCTGTGACTCAATTAATTTTCAATGTTAAGTTTTCTGCTTAAGTTAGTTTGAAAGGAACTACACTGATATTTTCTTTAAAGTTGCATTAGTTTATCTGTACATATCAGTTTGGCGACTATTTCAAGGCCCTGCCCACTAGGTCGTGGTCCAGTGACTCTCAATTAATTTTCAATGTTAAGTTTTCTGCTTAATATAAAAATAAGGAGATGTGGTATGATTGCCAATGAGACAACTATCCACCAAAGTTCAAGTGGATGTACGCAGTAAAAGGCAACCGTACGGACTTCAACAATGAGAAAAAACCCATACTGTATAGTCGGCTATAAAAGGCTCAGACATGAAAAATATAAAACAACTCAGTTGAGATAACTGACGGCCTAATTTATATCAAAACAATTTGCGAAAAACAAATATGACAGACATGAACCAACGACAACCACTAAACTACAGGCTCCTGACTTGGAACAGGCACAAACAGAATGAGGCAAGGTTCAACTAGTTTGCTGTTGCCAATCCTTTCCCCTAATCTAGGACTGTGGTGTAACAGTACAACATAAGAACAAACTATAAAAATCAGTTGAAAAGGGCTTAACTCATCAGATCGAAAACTAAGTTAGTTTGATAGGAAGTACTGATGATAGACAATGATATATCCTATAAAGTTGAATTACTATCAGTACATCTGAGTTTGACGATCATTTTGATGTGCTACCCTCTAAGTCATGGTTCAACAATTTTGAATTAATTAGCAATGTTGCTGTCCATCTGATTGTCTTTTTCTGAATTTTCTGTAGACAGGCGAGACATATCTCTGTGGCAACAATTTCTTAGGTAAAAAAATATTTTTTTTTATTATCCTTGAAGAAATCACTTACCAAAATTTCCTAGAATTCAAAATGGTGACTTACCTTAGTTACAGACTGGAAGACCCTGGAATCATTCTACCCCCTCAAAATATATGACAACGACCGATGAAAATTGTTGTTACTGGCATTAAAATTCAAAATAAGTAACCCTAAGAATATGTAAGCAGTTATTTGTACATCAGTCGAGTCAATACTAGTATGGTGTTCATTAATTTTCCTTTAAATAGGACATTTGATATATCTTGATTCCATCATTATCATAAATTTAAAAGAATTATTGTGTAAAAAATCGAGGGTGGAAAGGGTCTGGTGGCTGCCTGAGGCCCCAGCAGGTCCAGGGCAGAACCCTTCTAGGGAGCTTGTGGGTAGAGGGACAAAGCTCCCCGATAGAAAACAGTTTTCAGCTTTTATAGGTGGCTGGTGTAAAACATAAAATTCACTGGCCACAGGCATTTTATCATGAAAATATACATGTAAAAAGTTGTAAGAATTATAGATAATTTTACAATTACATCAGACTGATCACATGTAATTATATTGCTGTTGTTCAATGGGCAAAATTGTTTACATAACAATGTAGTTTTAGATAATTTACATACATGTAATACATACAAGTACTTAAATTACCGTAGATGAGAATTAAAAATTTATATTCAAACTTATGCAGAACAAATCACGAAACATTTGTGACATAATAATAAAATATTTATAAATCATTTATAATAAAATTACATAAATTTATATATTTATATTGCAGTGGAATGAGTGGATACACCTTAATATATTATAACTAGTAATTAAATTTTGATATTATTTTAGGAGCCATATTACCTGATGGTTCTATAAACTGGGACTGTCCATGTATTGCAAGAGATTTGACTGGACCTTGTGGTTATGAGATGAGACAGGCTTTAGCATGTTACACTGAAGGGGTATCGTCTCCAGAGTGTCGAGAGAAACATTTAGAACTACAAGACTGTTTACAAAGTCATGCAGGATTATATCCATGGGTCAATGATGAAGATGGTAGTGTAGAAAAAGAGGCAGTTAGACGAGCAGAGGATATGATCAATGAGGCTGAAAAGAAATCCTGACAAATTACTGTATAAAAAATTTTCTATTCTTGTATTATAAAGCGTATTATCTTATGTTTTAGTTGTGGGATTTATCAATAATACAACTTGAGTCACTGTCAGATAAAAGGGAATGAACATACAAACAAGGGCAATTAAAAATCAAAAGTAAACACACAGCACCCGGGGAAAAGATGGAAAAAGATCGACAGATTCCGCATAACACTACAGGTACACAGAAAGTAAAAATTGAGTAACATTACCTGTTTTACAAAGTACTATTTTTCACTCCCTAAAACAAGACATTTCTATCTACATTCAATGTTGATGCTACTATTGGACATCATTTTATATTCATGTCAATATAAAAATAAAGAGATGTGGTATGATTGCTAATGAGAAAACTCTTCACCAGAGACCAAATGACGTAGAAGTTAGCAAGGCCAAAAATAAAATTAAAATTGTTTGATGTTGCCTACCTATCCGTATAAAAAGCAACCTACCTGAAAAATTTTATGACACAAAACTATTCAAATGTTTTTTGAAGTTTTTTTCATGCTCTAATGTTGTGTTCTTGTCTAAAACAAACATGTAACTTAATATGTTGTTGACCATAAAAAAAAATCCCAAACCTACCTACCCACCCAATCCTACAAGGCATGAGTAATGACACAGGCGTTATAAAATAAGATGTGTAAATCATCATAGTTTATTATGGATAAATCTTTTCTATAAGAAGAAAAGTTTATGTGATACAGAATACAATTGTGATAATATATATTGAGGATTTATCCATAATTAACTATGATGATTTACACATCTTATTTTATAACGCCTGTGCCGTTATTCATGGGTAGGCAACATTAAACAAAGAATTTCGTTAAGGGTGGCCCAACTATACGTCAACCGTACAGCCTTAACAATGCGAAAAACACATGCCGCATAGTTGGCTGTAAAAAGCCCTGAAAAGACAAATGTAAAACAATTCAAACGAGGAAACTAACAGCCTGATTTATGTACAAAACAATAAATGAAAAACAAAATATACAGCAACAAATGACAACAACTGAATTATAGGATCCTGACTTGGGGATGTAAGCGTACTTTCATTCCGGCGTGTATTATTTCCGGGTAACCGTTTTTCACTAGAGAATATTGGATGTAAATAGTGTGAAAGCGTCGATCGTGATATCGTTGTTTTGTTTATATTAGACCGGTTTATTGTTTACATAAATAATTGGGTTAAAATTAAAATGATTTTCAAAAAAACCAGTTTAATTAATCTGAGTCAATCTAGTAATTATAAATAATATTGATGATGATGAGGAGGTTTTTTTATAACTCAAAATACTTTATCAATGTTCAGGACATTGAACTTGATATAAACCAAATTTAAAGAGCAGATTTGTTCTTACATAAAGTTTCAATTATAGAAGTCGACCGAAAAGCAAATACACAGAAAAACTTCGGCAACCCAAAAAATATAAATATTACAATTAGTGACAATTTAAAAGCATATGATTTTAAAGATTTGCATAGAAAAAATATTTAAATCTTATTCGTTAATAAGCATTATTGTGTTATCGTGTATTCAAAATGAGTACTAATCATTTCATCAATGTATGGATCTAAAGCACTAGTGTAATTAATCCCGGTATAAAATAACTAGTGCAATCATTCCGTTACAAAATCACTAGTGTAATCATTCCTTGTTTAAAAACACTAGTGTGAACATTCCTTGGATGAAAACTCTCCACTTTTTACATAAATTATTTATGCAAGTTTCAAATACACTAAAAACTATTAAGCCACATTTCATATATGTTTCCCCTTCAAAAAACCCTTTTTAGAACCTTATAACGACTGGTGGATGTTTTACACTGGACCCGGATAGAAAAACCTAGTGAATTTTTGTTGGTGGATAAAAATCACTGGGGATTTTCTTCCTCCGGATAAAGTACACTGGCGGAATCAAACCACTGTTACAAGGACAGGCACAGGCACATATATAATGTGGAAGGGTTAAACATGTTTGCGGGCACCCAGACTTTATTACGAGAAAATTTAAAAAAGATGACTTCTCTCATTGGATTGAATTATCATGTTCCTGATTATAAATTAAAGTTGAAGGTAGTTTTTAGGATCAATTTGACCAGTTAAGTAGAACCGCTAATGGTAAGCCAATGATATTTGGCAAGCAGTTGTATTAGCATTGGCACTTCTCATTTCCATGGAGACAAGTGGCCTTTGCCCCATAGTCATGATCCATTATCTTGGAAAGATTTAAATAGTTCACGTTTTAAAGTTTTTGATTAGGTAAGTTTAAGGGAACCACTTATAAGTCAATGATATTTGGTATCCAGTTCTATTAGACGTGTTAAAAAAGTCGATACTACTGTTGGCGCTCGTGTTGGATGGAAGATTAATACAATATGATTGTGGGGACCATCTCTAAAGTACAAATACTCCATCATTTTTGTTACCTGTATGAATTTAATAACTGGCCGATGCATTTGAATTATAGTGACATTAATCAACGCTTACTGATGAAATATTTATTTTTATTTTTTAACGGTAGAGAGACATCTCATTTATTTCTTTATATACAGTAAAGAAACAACAAGATTAATACAGATAGTTTTGTCTTTCTTTAGAACCGCCTTGGTTGTTTTGAGGTAGCGTATGAGAGGTCGTCGGTTTCCCATGGTGGTGTAAAACAAGAACTTGAAAATTGGCATTTGCTGCTTCTTTAGAACAATGTAGATAAGCATATACATGAGCAAATACTGGTCGATCCAGAGTCAGAAAAATGTGTCGGCTTGTGATGGTATATCTCCTTGTGGACTATCATTTTGTAAATATTCTATCCAGCGTGTACAAAGTAGGGTCAGTATTCATATCTCATTATATTGTTCTAGTTATGAATATGTATTTAACTTGCCACGGGACATTATTTCATCGATTCATCTTACGTTTGCATGTTTCGAAGAAAATCGGGTCACCCATAATATATTAATTTAATTTTCTGGCAATACAAACATGAAAAATGTTTTAAGCCTGAAATTTAACTTTTAAGTTTCCGCTTTCATGTTTTGTTAATTAATTCACACCCGTTGACTTTGATTTTTATCGAACCTGACAAGACTTTAAAGGCAGATAATAAGACCCAACGTAAACAGTAAATCGTTCGCTTAATATTGAGGCAGCAAACCATCAAACTTTTCTTTTATTATTTATACATTAAAAAAGTTATATCGACGTAAAGATAAGTTAGTCATATTCTACATTGTATATAAATTGCTGACACAAGACACCTATGAGGTCAAAACACCTCTCAAGAGTTTAAAAACTTGAAAAAAAAGTGTTTTCCAATAAAGATGGTAAAAGATAAGCTGGCTTAAACAAGTCTCACAATTCCGAATAAATGTAGATGTGTTTCTTTACTTTTACTTGAATTTATTATAATAGTTTCATGTTATAATGGATATTGCAACTTTATCAGCTTTAATTCCCTCTTTGGTAACTCCACCCTAGATCCATCAATAATTTTTAAGATATTGTCACCTTAGATCTACTGCTAAATGGTCCTCCTCCAGACCCAACTTTAGAGATTAATCATCGTGTTTCTGAAGGAAGAAATGAGATATGGCATGGTAGAGATGTATTTTCAAATCATCGTTACGCATTTTATCGTTCTTGTGGGGAAACACCAGAAACGATAATGCAAATGCTGAAAACAGTTGGATCAAGAATACACGAGAGTCCTATTAGAAGACCTCACAGATTTTCACCTATTGATCGTTTACTGTTAGTTCTGTAATGGCTTCGTAGTTATCCGTGTTACAATCTTCTTAGTTTACTTTTTGACGTTTCGTCTCATAATATATGTACTCCCATAAAAGCCCTCAAACCAATTTTATGGGAAATATATTCACCAAATATAGTCTGGCCTAGTCGTCAACAATGGCTTCAGTTACATGGGAACTGGTAAAACATTCCAACTGCTTTAAATTGGCAGGCATTGATAATACATCCCATGTCATATACAGGCCTCAAGTTGAACCACGGGAGGAATATTACTCTTGACATCGCCATGTACATTGTGTACACACACAAATTGTAAGTGACAATGAAAATCATATACGCCTTGTTAAAAGTGGTTTTCTTGGACATCAAAACGATGCTCAACAGTTTTGCCTAGTATTGGGACTAATTTGGAGTTAGATTTCCCTCCAAATTATGTAATCTTAGCTGATAAAATTTATGCAAACCGTGCACCAATTGTTACATCATATAAGAGACACCAAGTAAGACGGAAATCTCCGAGGGAAAAAGGGAAATGTAAAAAATTAAATAAATTAAAAGAATGTCTGAGTGTATGTTGAAGACGTTTAAAGACATTCGGGGTCGTTTTAACTTTATGGAGACCTAAAAGGAACGAACTAAAGCAAATATTTGAATAGTTTTCTGGACTTGTCGAGAGACAAACTGAGTTATTTTGTATTTAAAATGCTATCCAATCATGCAATGCTTATGTTATTAGGCAAGTGACCACAAAATCCCAAATTTGCATTTTAAGATAAAGTATCGAGCATTCATCTTGTGTAAAAGCGGGACTTGTGTTTTCCAAAATAAATTGTTTTATTCTGATGATTTTTTTTTAAATCGTTCCGGAATGAGAGTAAAACAATAATTCTTTAATCAATATAGTTACAATTACATGTATGGTTATAATTATCTTCAATATGCCACGTAATTGATTTTAAAATTCACATTTAATGATTAATTTTGGGTTTTTAAAAATGCTCGATTGATTATGCCTTGCATACCTAAGCGGTATCAAACACGCCTATACAGGTAATAAAAAAAACGATAGAGTATTTATACTTTTGAAGATGACCCCAACATCATATTGTATTCATCTTCCATCCAACACGAGCGCCAACCTTAGTATCGACTTTTCTAACACGTCTATTAACATTGGCATATTTCATTTCAGTGATTATTATTTGGCATTTTTGCATATTTACATGTTAAAAGTTCTGCCATTTAAATTTCAGCATTCAAATTACATA